AAGGACTAACACTGACTAAAAACAAAATCTTAGTTTTTAAAAGTTAAGGCGGCATTGATTGAGGGTGCGCTGATTCACTGCTGAAGTGACTCAAATCAAATTTGTTTCCTTCCAAGTGAGTCAGATCTGATCTTTTCATGAATGTGTAAACAAACCTGATTGGATTTTGTCAAATCAGATCTGGGCCATTTGCAAATACATTTGATTCATATGTGATAATTGTCCATGCAACTGCTGTCTGAACAATCAGATCAGAATTCATGTGGCTTTTCAATGTCTCCCTCAGCACATACAGCCTGTTGTCATCATTCAGTGTAGGCCCTTCACAGACTGGTGTAAATAAACATGGACAAAAGCAACAACAGTGATGAGGTCAGTTGAGAAACCAGGAAGTTCAGGCTATGCAAATTAACAGAAAGGTAAAGATTGTCTGTCAGAGAGGGTGTTATTGATGGCACTGGTTGAAGTTGGCACTGCTGGCCTGGGAGAGAGGATGGGGGTGGGAGACTTTGTGGGAGGCGATCGATGCTCACATCCTGTGAACCCTGCATGTAACACAAGAGAGCAGTTCCAACATATAGGCAGCCATAACACACGCAGATACAGTGAGAGACAAATAGAAGCAAAAAGATAGATAGATAGATAGATAGATAGGGATAGATTAGAGTTTGGAACTGGCGCAAGAAGACCTTGAAACACCTCCATGGGGTAGCCATAGAGACGCAGTTCTTTCCAAGGATGCTTTTGTAAACATGATGAAGATCATCAAGAGGCACAGGGGGAACCCATACAAGTGATATGTAAGTGCTGCTGAAACTGTTTTTTCAGATGGCCTTAAAACTGTAAATGTCATACCATTATTTTATTTTGTAATCAGAATCAGCTTTATTGGCCAGGAGTGTTGGACACACCAGGAATTTAACTCTGGTACAGTGGCTCTCAGTGTGTGTGTACAATGTTCTTCTGTAAAGCAGTGAGTAAACAAGTAGACAATTTGAGACTGAGAGAACAAGAAAAGAAAAAGAATGTGCAAAGAAGAAAAATGAATGTGCATTAGGAAAATATAAATACTCACAGTTGAAATGCAGTTTTCCAGATAGACATATACAAAAGTATATTCACAAGGTATTGCACTGAGAGTTGTCGTTCTGTCATATAGTCATGGGATACGTGTTCATCAGAGCGATGACCTGGGGGAGGAAACTGTCCTTGTGTCTGGTTGTTTTGGTGTACAGTGACCTGTAGCACCGTCTAGAGGGGGGGAGTTCAGTTTGTGTCCAGGTTGTGAGGGGTCTGCAGTGATCCTCTCCGCCCTCCTTCTGACCTGTGGGTGTACAGGTCCTCTTCCTACAGTTCACTATCATCGCCACTGTTTTGAGCATGTTCAGCTCCAGGTTGTTATGACCACAACACAGGGCCAGCTGTTCAACCTCCCATCTGTACGCAGACTCGTCACCGTCTCCGATGAGATCGATGACTGTTGTGTCATCTGCAAACTTTAGGAGCTCAACAGAAGGGTCCCCTGAGGTGCAGTTGTTGGTGTAGAGGGAAAACACAGTAAAAGCTACAGCTGGATTTCAGCCCTTCTTAAAAAAACAGACTAAACTTCCATTTCATGTGCATATTTAAAGAAGAGAAAATCCATTGTAAATTCAGTTTGAAAGCTATTTGCACAACAGTCATCGATCTCATTGGAGACGGTGACGGTGATAGCAATGCCATGATTAAAGAAGGATGACCATATACTCCAATAATATGATTGTGTCACCAGTGTGTCCTTAACATGTTTAAACATAGTGGCTGACATTTCACTTTTTTCAAGGCCTTTAAAAACATCAGTGACACAATGTCTCACTGGAGCTAAGTCACCTTATTTATGTAGGTTGTACAGAACACGGTCAACACTTAGGCCATTCACCAGACATCAACATAACCCCTGATTTGGCAAACAGTGTTTGCTGCAATTTTTATAAATAAATACATAAGCAAGCTTTGATATATCTAGAACATCTCATGGAAAGTGGAAAGTTTTGTGTTTTGTGTTAACAGGACACCAAGTTTCTCACTTCCCTCATTTTGCTAATTCGTTCAATATGATTCAAAATATTTTTCAGAAAAGCCAGATAAATCTCATTCCACTGTGGCATAGAGAGAGGTCCACTATTGTTCAAAAACTGTAACCGGTGAGCCACATCATTTCACAGTGTGTCACCACATAAACACACAAAGTAGTTTATTTTTACTCAGTCTCACATTCGCTGTCCTGCTGCCATAAATACTCAGTAGATGAACAGATGTGGGTTAATAGTCCTCAGCAAATGCACTATCCCCTACTTTTTGAATAACCTTTGCTAAAAACTATATCTGTTGTAGGAACAGAGATCTTCATTTTTTCATTTTAATTGCATATTTTATTGGACTTTATCAAAGTACACATCCTTATCAAAGTAATGCCTGATATCTTGGAATACTGCAACAAATGCAAGTCCAACAGAGTAACAAACAAAAGAGGTCTGATGTTCTGAGAAGTTGTAAACAAATACCCAGGTTAGCTAAATGCATTTGCAAGAGAAAATGATTGTAGACATTAAAATGACAACCCCAACTGTCTGTTGTAAACAGCCACCAAAGCTTACAACCCAATTTTTGGGTTCAGCTTAGAGTAACTGTACACACTTAGTTTTCCTGTGCAGTCAGGTAGTATTAATAACATTGCAGCTGCACCCAGTTTGACTTCCAGAGCAAAAAGGGGCCCTATCTGGCTAAACTGTCACCTTGTTTGCAACCTGTGTTCTTTGCATTGTTAGTCAGTTTTTCAATTATGTTGCCATTTATTGAGATCGAACCAAAACCTTATTGAACATAATCAATAAAACAGGTTACAGTAATCCAACTTAAGTTTTAGAATACTTCTTCTAAAGTTTCAAATAAAGACCTACCTGGCACAGTATTTAGTCTGGCTTTGTGGAGCTAACACAGTACATGTTGTGTTTCCACAGTTTGAGGACATGTGGCAGTGAAGTGGTGAGAAGCTGACCATGGGTGACTGGAACCTGCTGGGCAGCATCCTAGAAGAGGTCCATATTCATTCCACCATTGTGGGCAAGATCTGGCTCACCATACTCTTCATCTTTCGCATGCTAATCCTGGGAGCAGCCGCTGAGGATGTATGGGATGATGAGCAGTCCGAATTTGTCTGCAATACTAACCAGCCAGGTTGCAAGGCAGTCTGCTATGACCGTGTCTTCCCCATCTCCCTCATTCGCTTCTGGGTCCTGCAAATCATTTTTGTGTCTGCGCCCTCGCTGATCTACATGGGTCATGCCCTCTACTGCATCCGAGCGCTGGAGAAAGAATGCCACCGCAGACGGATCCAGTTGAAGGAAGAGCTGGATGAGGCTGAATTGGCACTGGATGAATATAAGCACATGGAGAGGGAGCTGAGGAGGCTAGACGAACAGAGGAAGGTGAAGAAGGCTCCTCTCAGAGGCTCTCTGTTGAGAACCTACATCATCCATATCCTTACACGCTCTGTGGTGGAGGTCTGCTTCATCCTGGGCCAGTATATACTCTATGGTGTCCAATTGGAGCCACTCTATAAGTGTGAGAGGCTGCCTTGCCCCAACAGTGTAGATTGTTACATCTCCAGACCCACAGAGAAGACCATCTTCATGGTCTTCATGATTGCCATTGCTGCTGTGTCACTTTTCCTCAACATTCTGGAAATATCCCATCTGGGCATCAGGAAAATCAAAGAGACACTGTATGGACAGAGATATACAGAAGATGACAGTTTAATTTACAAGTCCAAGAGGAAGACATCCTTACAACACCTTTGTGTATTGAGCAATTTATCACTGCACAACGGTTCTTTGACTCAGGCCTTCAAAGTGCTTCCAGAGGTCAATATGAAGTCTCCTCATTGCAGCACTGGACTAAAAGCCAACCAGAACCCCCCAAGACACAGCAGTTTGGCTCATCTGGGACACAGTCAGATGAGCTATATCTGCCCCCAACCTAGGGTGCCACCCAGGTCTGCTCAGGAGTCTTCAATCCAAGCCTCACAAACCCATGAAGGACAGGAGGTCCACACAGCCATGGTAGACCACCATCCACCCTGGGCTTCTGCTGTGTCCATTGTGGAGGGACGTGCCACAAGCCATAATGAGGACATCCATGATGGTGAACACCCTCATCCTAGCCACATAGAAGCTCTGCTGTTCAGCAGCATGTTAAGGCCCAGAGGTATCGGTGACCTTGATGAGGATGAGCGAAGGGAATCAATGGGCAGCAAGGTCCTGGTCCCCAACACCAGGAAGACCAGCTTCATGATTAGACCTCCATCGGAGAGCTTGTCTTCTATCAGTAGCTCCACGAGCCCTTCCTTACATACCTCAGAGGAGTCAGATGAACTGGGTTCACTGCAGGGAGATATGCCCACAGTGCCACCTGCTGGAGGCCGAAGAATGTCAATGGCAAGTAAAGAGCAGAGATTGTCTTGTGTGCAAGTCACCTTCCACACTAGTCAAAAATGTCAGCCACAGAAATGTACTATTCAAAGGCACAGCTATGAAGTGATGATCTGATAATCTAGGAGCATCTTGTCCTGTACCTGGGTTTCATCTTCCATTGTTGTCTAGACCACAAGTATTTATCAGTTGTGTGCATAAAATAGGAAATGTCTTCTAGTGTATTATCAAAGGTGTTAAAAGAAGAAGAAGTTACTTGCCCACTGGTAGAATGATAAAGTCAAGTATTTCATTAACTAAATTAAGCAACAAATGACCTAAACACTCAATATGATAGTGTTACTCCCAAAGATTTTATAAACAATCACAGAGAAGTCAAAGACAGAGTAGTAAGAGACAGCAGAAGAGATCGGTGGTGCTCTGAGGAGAGAAACTGAGAGAGAAAATCATTTTTGTTGACCTGGACAGAGCCCAGCAGTGTTCTCAGTGAAAGTACTGAGAAGAAATCAAACTGCTCTGAAGATATTTCAAATAATACACTTCAGTTCGGGCAGGAACACCATTTAAAAAGCAAAACAAGAAGAGAGGAGGCATTGCGCTGGCATTACAGTCAATCCACTGAACATAAAATCGTTTATCTGGCTATGCTGAGAAAACTAGTTTTGTTCAGATATCAAGTTTAATTTATCTAATGATAGAAATTATCATTATCTTGAGAAAACAAACAGCTGTTTTATCAAGATCATGAGATAATTTATTCTGAGACAAAAAGTTGGTTTAGCTAAGAAGATGCATTGCTACGCCCAGTTTTCAAAGTAAGATACCTCAGCAGGACCCATTCAAATGAATAGAAACTAATGTATAATTAATCAAATAATACTCACAGAGCTTATAATACATACATGTTTTCTGCAGCCGAGCCTATTTAAATTAAGTCCTTTAAAAGAAAAATTAGCACATTGGATTATGTTATTTATTATATTGTTTATATTGTTGAAAGCAGATTTTTGTTTGTGAAGTAAAAAAACAAAGAAATGACCATATTTAATGCGTAATCTTGGATAATTTACACATTTGTGGAAATGTTCAGTTCTTCAGTTTTAAAACAATAGAACAGATAAAACAACTACGGTCCATAGTCCCTTACAGGGACTGACAGGGACCGTTCTGATATAGTGGACCCAGACTACAAACTCTTTTTATATACTGTACAGCCTATCTGCTAAAACAACTAATTTTCATATACCAATAAACATTGGTATATGGAAATTAGACATTGGTATATGGCTACATTCCAGTTTCACAGGCAGCTGGTTTGACTGGTTTGAAATTGGAAAAGAAAGTGAAAGTCGTTTGCTCCTGATAAATTATCTCATTATTATGAGAAACTGGCCTTTTGTTTCTCAAGAAAACAATTTACCACAACTAACTTGTGATCGAGATAATCCTTCAAAACTAATAAAAAATGAATAAAATAAATGCTAGCATGGCCATTCTGGGCTTCAGTACTTACACATTTCTTGGGCTACATATACTGTATTTCATGGCCAGTCTGGCACACCTGTGCAATAATCATGCTGGCTAATCAGCATCCTGATATGCCACACCTGTGATGGATTATCTTGGCAAAGGAGAAGTGCTCACTAACACAGATTTAGACAGATTTGTGAACAATATTTGAAAGAAATAGGCCTTTTGTGTACATAGAACAAGTCGTAGATCTTTGAGTTCAGCTCATGAAAAGTGGGGGCAAACACAAAAGTGTTGCATTTATAATTTTGTTCAGTGTATTTACGAAAACTATTGTAGCACTTCCTCACCAACAGGACCGTGACAAATAAACCAATGATGACATGCATAAATAAGCATAGAAAATGCTTTTACAGAAGAATTCACAGATTTGCACATGGTGTTCTTTTTCCAAAGAATTTTGTGAAATTAATAGATGTAAAAGACTTCGTTCTTTGTTTTTATTTCACAATGGAACCGTAGATGCCTTCAGGTTTGCAGAAATGTATTTATGCAAGAAAGCTAAGTGCACTAATTAAGCCACATCACTGGATACTGAACAATGCTCATTTCACTGAAGTCCAGGTATGTGGCATGTATTTTATGTGTTTTTGTCTTTCTCAGAGTATGTTTCTGGATATCTCCTCTATCATGAAGAAGTGAAGAGACAAGATTAGCATCACAAGCTGTTCCACAGCCCAGCTGGGCCACAAATGGGAGGAACTGTATTAATGATCCAGCCATCAACAGCGATCCCCCGCTTAGGTCACATGGGGCCAAAACCAGTCAAACAGTCAGCCGCGATGAGGCACCCAAAGCCCAGTTTTGGATGTGAAGCAAAAAGAGTTGTATCATTTTAAAAATGTCTTGGTTGAATTTTTAAGATTGTGTGGAAACAACCTAATGGATTATGGAGGAAAATAATCAAAGCATACATTTTCCTCTTTAACTCATAAACTTAAAATGCTTTATAAGTCAAAGACTTTATTACAATCTTTGTGTACTGACTCTGTGTATAACCGTTTATATACAAACATTTCATGGGAAATTATGATACTTAATATTATATTCAGAAATAAATGCTTCTTAACAAAACAGTGAACATTCTGTCAACAGATATTTTATCCACAACAAACTGTAGAATTCTCATGCTTTATTTTATTTCTCAACAAAAAATGTTTGAGGCAAAATGCAGTTTTTTTTCCTTTTCATAGCAAATAAACAAAACATGATGTATTGCACAATATTTATAAAAAATCTAAACAAAACAGAGCACTTAAACATTCAAGGAAATAAATAATGCTGAATCTGCAGATAACAGTCATGTTTCAGGTACAGAAGTGAAAAATAGCTCATCAAAATCTGCACATACGATGATGTAACCACTGTAAAATGTTAGAAAGAGTGCCACAGAAACTGTCTACATGTCTATCATACAGTCCTTTCTCATAAGAAAAGGTATGCTGAATGACCCAGGTAGAAAATTATTAAGAATCTGTTAAACAGAAGTTTTTTTTTAACTTAAAAATCACAATCTCTGATTCAAGTGGCCCCAATTAACACAGGTTCATTCTGAAAACAGATTATATTAAATAACTATTTGCTTTAGTTTTCCATCATGTATTGTAATTCCAAATTAAAGGCATATGGTTCCAGAATACTAAGACCCATTAGTGAAAACCTTTGCTCCAGGCTTAAACAATAACTGTTGCATTGCATTCAGAGATGTTGGAAAGTAGGAAACTCAAATGTCCTATGAAGAAAAATGTAACATTTTAACTATTTATTTCTGTAGAGTAGTAGGTCAGTCCCAGCTTCATTTACATAATCTGATGTTGTCATATAGTATAGACTGTTTCTGAATTGTGTGCCACAGTGGCTCAAGAGTCTGCATGATTTTCCTCCAATCAACCAGTGGTGGTTTGAAAACATTGATCATCATTGCTAAAAATGCCCAAAATACAATATAACAATATTAATTCTGCTTTTACAACATGAGTGGCCATTTCTGTTAAAATGGCACTCCCCTGTGTGCGACATCACAGTGCAGCTCTCTGGGTTAAGTTATTTCTCTTTTGTCTCTTTCTTGCTTATTTGTGCCATGTTAATGCCATAGTTAAGACTGCAAACATTATTTATGACCGGGCGACCTTACTACAGCTGAGAGAGGATATTCTTTTCGAAGAGTTTGGACTCTTACCCAGAGCTAACATGCTATGTCGACACAACGCTAGGCTGACCCCCAGCAGGCAGCTCTTCGACTGGCAACAAGCCGAAAAGGAGAAGAGGCTGACAGGGAGGTGCGGAGTGAAGGCTCCGGCGTTTGGTTAGGATGGGTATGCTAACCCTCCTGGCTATACTGTTTGCAAATGTCTAATCTTTAAAGCATGTGTCTAAAGCACGGAATTCATCCGTCTAATATCTGGATAATAAAATGGATGAATTCTGTGCTTGGATTTCCATGCAGAGGGACATACAGGACTACTCCTTGCTGTGCTTTTGTGAGACATGGCTGGGTGGAGGGACACCCAATGAGGCAATTACTCTGGACAGCTACTCTGCGTTCAGACTGGACCGAAGTACCACAGAAAGCAGTAAGATTTGTGGAGGAGGAACGGCTGCCTTCGTCAAACAGTCCTGGTGCACCAACAGTAAGGTTATCTCCAAATTTTGTTCCGAAGATGTGGAATATTTAACATTGAATCAAAGGCCATTTTATCTGCCCAGAGAAATGCAGTGTATCATTGTAAGTGTGGTGTACATACCCCTGACATGATCAATGAGCATGAAACCACATATCCTGATGCTGCTATTATTGTTCTAGGAGATTTTAATCACTGCAATCTCAGGAAAAGCCTAAACTGTATCAGTTTGTGACTTTTCCCACTAGAGCAAACAAAACACTGGACCACTGTTACTTCCAAAAACTGGAGAGATGTTACCTGAATAACAACATGCACAGCATGTGGCAGGGAATCCAGGCAGACACAAACTACAGGAACAAATCAACAATCACAGTCTCTCATGACGTCATCCTCCTGGACAGCCTTAATAATTTCTATGCTAGGTTTGACAGGCTGAACACAGATACCCCCTCAAAATCCCACTGTGCCCTGGGGGACATTGCTCATCAGGTGACACACACACAGGTCCTGAAGGCCCTGAAACAGGTGAATCCCCATAAGGCTGTGGGACCAGACGGCGTCTCCCCTAGAGTTCTGAAAGCATGCGGGCATCAACTAGCTAGTGTGTACACAGACATCTTCAACCTGTCTTTAACCCAAGTAGTAGTCCCTTGCATTTTCAAAAAATCTATTATCATACCGGTCTCTAAAACATCAGACGCATCCACCCTGAATGACTTTAGGCCAGTGGCACTCACATCAGTTGCCATGAAGTGCTTAGAGAAACTGGTCCTCACACATGTTCACCACATGGTCCCGGACACTGTAGATCCCCTCCAGTTGGCCTACCACCCCAACAGATCAGTGGACGATGCGATGGCTTTATTCCATACCCTGAAACACCTGGACAACAGCAGAACGTATGTCAGGATGCTCTACCTGGACTACAGTTCTGCATTCAATACCAGGCAGGCCGATCGAGAAGATGACAGACCTCAGTGTCCCAACTCTCACCTGTAACTGGATTCTGGACTTCCTGACTCAAAGACCACAGGTGGTTAGAATGGGAGGGTGGGTGTCTGCTGAGCTCACAATCAGCACAGGCTCACCACAGGGCTGCTGTCTCAGCCCCAAACTCTTCACCCTGTATATGGAGGGGAGAATGATCTCATCTTCAATATAAAAAAGACCAAAGAAATAATAATAGTAGACTTCAGGAAGAACCCCTCCCCTCTGCTGCCTCTGACTACCAAAGGGACTGAGGTGGAGAGGGCTGACAGCCACAGGTTCCTGGGCTTTCAGGTGACACCTGACCTGAGCTGGTCACTGAACACAGCTGCCACAGTGAAGAAAGCCCATCAGTGGCTATACTTCATCAGGCAGCTCAAGAAAGCTGGTTTGAACTGTCATCCCCTCACCCAGGCTTACAGAGGTCTGGTAGTGAGCATCGTCACTACTGGCATCACAGTCTGGTATGGTAACACCACACAGGCAGAGAGGAAGGCTCTTCAAAGGGTCATAAAGACTGCAGAGAGGATCATTGGGACTGAACTGCCTGCTATGGACACACTATAGACACAGCGCTGTCGCAAAAGAGCAGAGAACATAATCAGAGACCCATTCCACCCAGGTCACACTCTGCTCGGGCACACAAACTGCACCCACAACCTCAGACACAGCAGAGTGGACAGTATCATCACACACAGAACAAGATTTTACAACAGCTTTTTCCCTGCCGCAGTAACACTGATGGCAAATACATAATGTGAAAAACCTGTGCAATAACCCCTCATTACCCTACTGAGTAGAAAGGGCTATACAATTACACTATGCGCAATACCATGTGCAATATCTGAAACTCCCCATTTTACCTGCTATCTTATTCCTGTATCCACAATTTTATCAACTATTTTGTAATCTTGGGTGGTCTTACGCTTAGACTAGGTGTTTGTTCTTTTGGCTTTAAACTCTTTACTTGACTCCAGGAGAGCCCTGCACAAGAATTCCTATATGCCTAGAGTGTGTGTTTATGCATAAATGGTAAATAAAAATCTTGAATCTTGAATTTTTGAATGATTTGAATGTTGCCCAGGCAGCTATTGCATTTCATTTCTGTTAGTACAGTCTGATTATGAGCTTGGAGAAACTTGCTTGTGTTACTGAATCTATCACAGCTATCATCATGTCGTCCTTTACTGTTGTCAGAGTTTTGTTTTACTGGTGTAATGATGCAGCTTCAAGTGTAGATTTATCTGGAAATTTTGCCTTGCACCACCACAATAGAACTCTGGCAACATTAAAAGCATCTGATGTACGTACTGCCTAACTCATATACATTTCAAGTCTCCACTTAAGTTGTAAGTTCATTTTGGTACCATTCTAAGATAAAATTAAACTGCAACAAAACATAATTCAGAGATTTAAAGAGTGCCTTAAAGAATGAGCTTGAAGAAACAGTAATGTAGTAGTGTAATTTGCTGTTAATGGGCTAAATCACTGGTGTGATCATTAAAAATGTCCATTCTATTCTATCTACAGAATAAATCCTTTTTCCCTTATTGGATAGCCTGACTGATGTAACCTCTAAGGCAAGAATTTGTAGCTGCACTAGTCAGATTCCTATTTTAACTCACAAAGTCATTGACACTTTTAACTTTGTATAAATAAAAAAAGAGCTTTATCAGGTTTTCTATTCAAATTAATTCTCAGGTCATATCTTTAGAGAACAATAAAAGAACAGGTTATACACAATTTGTAAACATACACCCCTTTAAGTTAATATATGACAATTTAAGTAAGTACTTGTGACTTGTAAATCAAGACTTAGTTTTTCATGAAATGGTCAAGAACAAAGAAAATACCACCACCAATCCTAAAAAAGGGTAGCAACTTATGTTTTACATTAAGATCCTTAACAGAACACAAGGGTTAATAAAATTTCATCTATACCACACCCCTACCTTTAACAACAAATAAACATGTTCATGTTAAGAAATTAAAGTCTATGAAAATCAGCTGTGCAGTGTTCTTCAGTGCACTTTGAACATTTTGTC